AAATAATATAACTTATGAATTTGACACTATTTAATAATGAAATATAAGGAATTAAGGAAACACTGATCGAGTATTTTATTTAATAAAAAATATATTTATTACCATCTCCTTGAACAGATGTTATGTATTTTCCGTCTAAAAACAAGTCAATGTTTGAAAGGTATGGTGATGGTCCGCGGTCAATAACCACTTCATTAAGTACTAATAAATTTGGCTGAGGCTTTTCTTTGTCTTCATTCTTCCTAACAATTATACACCTAAGTCTACTACGTAACGTTAATGCAGCATGTCCTTCAAGTACATTGGTCACTTGCTGTTGGAAATTGTCAAACTTAAAAGGCGTCAAGAAACCAAGTGAGCCCAAGTGGAACGCCATAACTGGTGGTACTGATTGCTAAAAGAAAAATAAGAACATTAGCTCGATAAACAATGTTGAAGAGATATTAATTTTTAAATTACCTGAAACAAAAGACTAGCGTAAAGGAGAGTACCGTCTCCACCTAAGCAAATAATAAAATCTATTTTGTCTGTTAGATCATCTTTGCTATCTTGGAAAGAGTTTAATTTTTCTCGTATTTCCATGAAGCCAGAGTTACTAGAGAGCATTGTGTCTTCCATCACAGAATGTTCCACAAATACTATCATGCTTTTTTCCTAGGGTCAAATAGAATATTTTGAATAAATAATGGCAATTTCCTTTATCAGAATAACCGATTATAGATATTCGTACCTGTATCAGCCATCTGACGAGTTCTATGAATGGTGGTAAAACAGACATATCTCTAACTTTTTTTATCACCAACACCGACAGAGGATTTTTGGACCACGTCAAACGTTGACTGGCCGGATCTTGAGTTTTCCTGGACAAATAGCAAATAAGTTTAAATACACAACAACAATGACAAAAAACCATACAATCGCAGTTATATGATCTGTGGAATAACCAACTTACGTGATCAACGCTGAGGTTTCCATGATACGGCCACATGGTCCAAACTGTTGGACCGGGCTGGGGGCGTTCAGCGACCGCGTTCTCCTGAAAGAAAAAATAGTGTCGGTCAGTAAACGAAGCGCTGAGAAAACATAGACGGACAGAACGAACGGAAGGACGGACGGACGAATCGTCGGGCCACATATGAAAGATATTTTACACAGTTCTGAGGGTGGGTACGCTTACGGGTCAATGTCGTCCACGACGACCGATCTCTTCACTTCGTTCATGACTATAGCGGTGCGTTAAAGATTCCGTTTGACGTACATGTCGGACACACACACCGCCGGAGAAACGATGGGGTTTTAAAACGACGACGACGGGCCGGGTGGTCTATGGGTTTTCGGTATTAACCACTCGGGGAAACTAAACTGGCGAACGAGACCCACGTAACCGCAACAGTGAACAATTAGGAATTGTCAAAAGGAAATCGGGAAAATTCTTGAAATTCATCAGTGAAAATAAAAACGAAATAGTGATAACTGATAAGCACAAGCTTTTGTTGTTGTTGTAGCCGAACCGATGATCACATTGTAACGATRTACTATCGTTATCAACGTGGCCGTGTGGGTGCGCTTGTGCCGCGGTCGTAATGTAAGTTGTCTACAACTAAAATCGTCAACGTCGTATCGCGTACTCAATAGTCAATACTCATGTGGGACTTAAGTTTTTGTTAGTCGCTAGAGCACGCTGCACTGATCGTCGGCAGACGCAGACCGCACCAGGCTGGACGACAGTTAGTACGACACTACGACAGAATGACAGAYGGGAAGGAGCGGTGACACMCGGCGATGTTCGCGTACGGGCCACGCGATAATAATATTATRTTTTATTAAAATAATTTTTTTCTTTTCTATTATAGAAATAACCCTCGGCACCGTGGCCATTAAGATAAGATACATTTTTTTTCTTTTTAATATGTTACATAATAATAGAAAAGTTTAATAACAACAAAATATGTCT